TTTAAAACATTTTTGCATGTGCTCTCTGTGTAATGGGAAGTAACTTCAAGACTTCAGGCTTTCAAATATAAATTTGAAGCTCTTTATTTATCTTAAGTGTCTGCAATCAAGGATACAGGGTGGGTTGAGTACTTACCAAGACTTTCTCCCCTCTTTTCCCTTTACCTAAAGCAAGAAATGCCATTTTCTGCAATGTCAACCTGCTCTCTGCCTTTTCCTAGGAAGAGAGGGTAGGGGAGTACTTTTCTTGAAGGCTACCTGTTTAATTTCTACACAGTTCTGACATTTCTAATCAATAGTTGGCTCTCCTTGAACAAGATTTTATGTAACAAACTTCCTTCATTAAAATGAACACATTCGTTGCCGGCACTTGAACACTCAGAAATGGAACAGAAAACTTTGAAGAGAAAAATATGAGCTTTTATTTCATTTAGAGGAATTCATTTTAAAAACGGACTCTAGAATGAGGAGAAGAGTCAGAAAGAGCATGAAAAGCAGGAGGAAGGGATATGAGTCCGGGCCTTTTGGTTTCTCTTGCCTCTTTCGGTTAGGTGGGTCAGCAGAGTGAATGTGGGGTACTTCTCAGACCATCTGTTGTAATGCCTGATCTCACGGTAACCTGCTGTCTATGTAGCTCCCTCTCCTGTCATCCACCATGTCTGCCTCACTTTATGGTTTCCCTATCCCTGTGTCTCCCTGCACCGCCCAATAGAGAAATTGGCTGCTCCTTACCTTACAATAACTATTGATTGGATGGATTCTTTCAGGTAGTTTTCCAGATAACTATAACTAGATTTATGATATCATAAAGTTTTATAAAGTGTAATTAAACAGAACTGGTCTAGTAATGGGTATCTTTTTAATCTTCTAGATTTAGTTCAATCTAAGAGATCAAGTCATATCTATCTTACGTTTCTAGAGCCAGGTTAATTAATGGTTAATAGGCTGAATGATCTGATAGCTGTAAAAAGTAAATTAAATAAGTCTAATTTTTTAAAATGTGTGAATACAGATCCGTAATATCAAGCATACCTATCAAAGGAGTGGAAAGGATAGAACAGTTTTAAGTAATGTTGTAGTTAATTATTGCTTCAAATGACAGATTCCCTGAATATTAGTTCCTGAAGCAATAGTAGTTTTTATTTTAAATCCAGAAGTCTAGAGATATGAGGTTGCCTGCTTGATTAAACTGTTCAATAATGTTCATTAAAATAGATGCCAGCTCTTTTGTCTTTTTGGTCTGTTATCTTTATTGTATTGACAGTATCTCCTCTCATAGTTGCAAGATAGCTGCTCTGGCTCCAAGCATCACATCCTCACCAAAAACATCCCTAAAGGAAGGAAGAGGCAGGTCAAAAAGGCCTTCTTCATCGACTGGGCTAGACCCCAAAAGTCTTGTCCAAGTTGGGGAAAAAAAGCATAAAGAACCCATTGGACTCAGATTGCTTTTACTTGTATTTACTCCAGAAGCAGCTAACAAACCATGCAAAGGTGGGTGGGTTATCTCCTCTGCATCTTACAGATGGAGCCCTGAAGGTCACTCATCTTGAGGCAGGTCACACAGAGTGACATGTCTTCATGGTGAATAAAGAACACTCTTTAGGGTCCACGGCATGATAACCCAAGCCACTTCAGTGCACAGACAACTTAAAAAGACACTAAGACAGTAAGTCTGCTACTCAGTCCACCATGGCACTTGAACCTAATGACTAAGTTTGAAGCCTTGAAAATTCTGCACGGCCTGCACTGGGAAAATCTTCCCCTCTCTGTAGGGGCTAGTTCACCCTTTTTAGTCTAGGAGTTCACCCCCTGTAAGGTTAACTGCAGCTGAGCTGGAAAAAAGAAAGTGAAGACTTGGGCACATGAAACAATAAATGCAAAGGTACGTTTGGTGGACACAGTATAACCTGTTCAGGGCATTGCCAGTGATTGGGAGTGGCTGAGGCACAGGGTTGAGAAAGGAGTGGAGAAAGTATGATTAGAGAGGCAGCTAGGAGCCCATGGCATGCACCAAGATTCATTAAATTTTATTTCTTTTTTTAAAAGAGAAAAAAGGGGGTGGGAAAGAAGTGAAGACAGGAAAATGAAGAAGGGAAAGAAAGAATAAGAGAGGGAGGAAAGAAAAAAAAGGAAAGAAAAAATGAGAAAGGGAAAAAGAAACCAATATAGCAAAGGGACAAGATTTGGCAGGGCTGAATAGTTACTTATCACTACGGTTACTGATTTGTTACACGCTTCTCCACTTTGCTTCAGCTATTTCTTTTTCTAAAAAAAAAAAAAAATATGGTCAGGTGGAAATGTATACAGATATGATCTTTAGGAAAATATATTTAATGTATCAAAAGACCCCAAAGTGCTCATTTTAGATCCAATAATTTCATTGCAGGACATGCATGGATTGATATGCAAGAAATCTATTTTAATTGCCTCAAGTATAGTGACTTTTTTCCACTCTGGAGGTGGGGAATGCTAACTAACTCCCTTAATAAACTGTCTTAATGGAAATCTTCCCCAAGTACATTATACCTGTCCTGGTACATTGGATAAAGTATTCTGAAACACAACTAACCTTTTCTTGATGGTTTTTATTAATATAATTAACAATCAAAGTACACGTTAATAGAGTCATTGATCCAAGAAGCTGTTGAGATGCAAGGGGTGTTTTTTCCCTGGGTAGCTCATTTCCTCTGCCTCTCATGGTTCTTCTCTCCTTTTCCATCACAGTTGACTGTCGTTTCTCATTACTCTTCAACTCAACCCTCATTAGCAATTGCCAATCTAATCAAATAAAATAAAACAATACCAGATTACCAAGTTTGTTCACATGTTGTCTGAAGTGAATTGTCTGAACGAAGGCCTGGAGGTATGCCTCCACCCATCTGGGGAGCTTGTTAAACATGCTCTTTCCTGGGTTCCACCCTCATTCTCCCTAATAAGACTCTCTCAACCTCACAAGCACGTAAGGTAATACTGTTAAAATTTGAGACGCACTGGCTTATGGAGTCTCCTATGAAAAAATACCAATGAACTTAAGGCCACGTAGAGTCAACAGGTTGTCTTTGGGCCACTGAGCTGCTGTCCAAGGCTGGAGTTGTCGGGGTTAGGTTCTGGCGGCTTGCTTCCTGTGCCAGCCCAGGTACTAAATATCCTGAATACCACATGAGCTTACTGACTTCTAGTTTTTGAATTTGGCTCGCTTGGGTGGGTGTGTGAGGGGTGTTAGGTAACAAGAGATTTAGTTCCAGGGCTTCTCTGTCTTTAGATTAACTGAAATCCCTTGGATGATTAACATCTACCTGGTCTTATGACCTTGGTAGAAATAGGGTAATTGTTATTCATATTTTCCAAATATGAGACTGTCTGTAGAGACTGATTGACTTTTAAAAAGTGAAATAATGCTGACCATTTACCAGACATAAATTAAATTGGCTATACTCTTATGACATCCCTCTTGGACTGAAAATTTGATAGTTTATATGATGTTTAACTAAATTTCAACATATTTGCTATGCCTACTTTCAATTATTTTAATTAAAATGATTATTTTGTTCATGTTTATATGTTTACAAAAACCAGTTTTAAGTTTTAAAGTGGTGTGTATACACACACACACACACACACACACACTCTCTCTCTCTCTCTCTCTCTCGCGCGCGCGCGCGTTCTCTCTCTGCTTCTTTCCCTTAAAGAGATTTGCAGAGCTTTATCTTGCATTTTAAGTTGGCAATCCTGCAAATGTCTTAGATATGCTGATGGTCAACTAAAGAACACACACTAAAAAGCTAACAGAACATGAGTACCATACTTTGCTGCCTATTAGTACCAGTCATGGCCTCATACAACAGTAACAAAATACTCCAGAGTGAAAATACTGGTATATTTGTATAATGCAAAGAGAAATACAGATAGAAATCCTCAAAACAGAAGGTACATTAATAAAAATGTAGCATTATAAGCAAAAATTATACAGTACTTGCAGAATTTAGTCTTTCAATGTAAGATTACAATGTCTAACAAAGAAATATTATTGAAAATTATAGTTCTTGTTATTAATTTAAAATAACCATCATAGAACAGCACAACTTAACCTAGCAAACATTTTAAGGAAACACTTTATCTCCTAGAAGTAGAGTATTATTATATGCCATTCATTTACACCATGAACAAAAGAACAATTTTCAAAGTGGAAGTTAGTTTCATGAGCCAGAATATAACTGGGCTCCTCAAAGCACAAGCTGTTTTCATAAAGTTATTTTAATTTTTATTGGCAAAAAATAGCTAAACAATTTTGATTTAGTACTCTGCTTCTCAGAGCCCCCCAATCAGTGAATCGCAATCAGTACATACAAAAACATGCAATACTGTATTTTCTCCACACCATTAATAACCAAAACACCTTTTAACTTTTAAAAGTTAGAGTTTATAGAAATGTTTCCAGACAAGATTGGTATAATGCAGAGAGCAGTTGTCACTGACCTGTATTTTGCAGTATAAAGTAACATAAGAAACAGATCTTGCTCCTGCTTTAAAAAAACCACTTCCTTGCTAGTGACTCCCATAGCTGCTCTTTAAATTCAATCTCAATACTGAACAAAGTTTTTAACACTTTCAAAGGAGAGCAGCACAACTTATCCCATGGCTGGCAATTTAGAGGGAACTTAAGACAATCCTCCCTCCCCCTTTCTCCTGCTTCCAACTTGTGAAGTCCCCCAGGGTCCTCTTCTTCACTGCAAAATGTAATGCCACTTGAGGTTGTCAAAAATAGCTTCTGTAGAAAATTGGCCATGGTCTTTAGGAAACGTTGCATGAAGAAAGTTTAGTCTTTAGTTTAGTCTTTATTTTCAAAAGTAATAACATGGAATAAAAGACAGCAGTACCAATACAAAGACTTCAGGACCTATCTTCAAGATGAAAATATATTTAAGAGGAAAATGAATGGAGCTGGGATGGGGGTGGAAATGGAAACCCTTCTCCACCTCCCGCCCCCCCTAAAACGAGTCTGTACAATCCAAGTGCTAATCCATTTTGAGTCATTTTGAAGGCAGCTTAGACAATTTAAAGGGGAGCAGACGGGAAGAAACGACGTCAGTGCCCAAGACAAAAGGAAAGGCTGGATTGGGGTGTGCGTGGCAGGAGAGCCCTTACAAACCAATGCCTTTCAAGTCGCAGGGGAGAGTGGCCTGTGTGGCCTGGGTGCTCTGGCAGCAAGGGAACTGGGCCCTGAAGCAGTCCCTCAGCTCCCTGTTGAAGAGGAAGCACACAACAGGGTTGATGCCGGCCTGTGCGAAGGTCAGCCACACGGAGGCCGTCAAGTAGGCCTGCGGTACCGCGCCGGGCCGCACCAAGACCCGCAGGTAACTGGCCACGACGTAGGGACCCCAGAGCAGCAGAAAGAGCAGCGTGATGGCGTAGAACATCTTGCACAGCCTCTTCTCTGTCTTGAACTCCTCGAGCACGAGTAGACGGCGCGCGCCGCGCCCGGGTCCCGCGGGCCGGATGCCCACAAGTGCGGGAGGCGTGGGGCCGCGGCCGAAGCCAGCCGTCCAGTTGGCGGCCGCCTGGCCGGTGGCACCGGGGCCGTGGAAAGTCCAGTCGTGGCTGACGGCAGGAACGAGACGCGCGGGCCTCATCTTGCGGCGGTCGTGGATGAAGAAGAGCAGGCGGAGGTAGACGAGGTGCGTGGCGCCCACGACCGCGGCCAGCAGCAGCAGGAAGCCGAGCGCGCCGGGGGCGCCGTCGGGCCGCTGCTCCAGGGCGCACGGCGCGTCCTCCTCGTCGCCGCCACCGCCATCCAGCACCGGCGGGAAGGCCGCAGCTAGCGCCAGCGCCCAGGCGGCGCACACCAGCATGGCGGCGCACGGCCAGCCGGCCAGGCGCTCGGCATAGAAGCGGTGGTGCGCGATGGCCAGGTAGCGGGTGACGCCCACGCCAAGCAGCAGGAAGGCGGCGTGAAAGCAGAAAAGCGCGGCCAGGAAGGCGAGCAGCTTGCAGCCAAGCGCGCCCGGCGGGGTCCCGGCCGCGGCCGCCGCGCGCCGCGCCGCTAGCATGACGGCCGGGAGGCAGGCAAGCGCACGCAGCCCGTCTGCCAGGCATAGGTCGAGCAGCAGGTAGTACGGGGCGCGGTGCAGGCTGCGCTCCCGCACTATAAGCAGCGCGAACAGCACGTTGCCCGCTAGGCTCACGCACAGCAGCAGGCTCAGCGTGGCCAGCTTAATGCCCAGGGTGGCCGCCTCGCCGCCACCGCCGCCCGGCTCGCTGGCGTTCGCCATCCCGGCCTCCCCGGCCAGACGCTCCGCTCTGGGGCCGTTCCTGGCCTCCCCGCTCCGCAGGCCGCCTGGCCCTGGCTCCACTGCCGCGTGGGCCCTGCGCGAGTTCCCAGGCCGGCGCGGCTCAGCCTGCGCCCGGCTGGCGCCTCCTGGGTTCCCCGCGCCAACGCGCCGCCGCCATCTCGGGAATGATGCGCGCGGGAGGCGACGGCCACTCCCTGCACCTAGGGCACGGCGGGCTTCACTGCGGGCAGGGCCTCCCGGCCGCCCGGCCGCCCGCAGTCCCCAGCATCCTTTTCCTCCTCCTCCGCTGCTGCAGCGCTCCTCTTGGCTCTGCCCCCCGCCGCCGCCGCCGCCGCCGTCGCTGCCGTGGAGCCCCCTCCCCTCCGCCGGAGCGCGCCGCGTGGCCGCCACCCTGGCCGGGCTGGGCTGGGGCTGCCGCCGCGGCAGCTGCGGGTCCGGGAGGGAGGCAGGGCTCAGGACACCAGGTGGTGACAAGCCGTGTTTGGCCCCAGGTAACGGGGTCCGGCGGCGGCGCCCGCGGTGTGGGGTCACGCGGGGCGGGGGATGATGCTTGGAGTGGCAGGGTCGGGAGGCCTCAGCGGCGCAGGAATACCTGGGATGAGCTTTCTGCCCGAAAGCTAATAATAATTAACGGTAGGAATAATCATAATGTAACCGTAAACGTTCAGAGGAGCATTGATGTGGGCTGACAGTGTTCTGGGAGCTTTACCAGCGTCGTCTGGGCTCAGTATTCACAATAACTACTAAGTTGGTTTTAATCTTAACCCCACTTTGTACTGCGGAAGCAGAAGCTTGGAGGTCAAGGGAGTTGAGAACCGGTGAGCAATGGAGCTAGGATTTGTATTTCACTAGGTCTGATTTCCAGGGTTGGATTCACAGCAACTGTGCAGCAGGCCAAGATCTCTGCCTCACCTGTGGTCCCAGTGAAGACGAAAGTCAGGGAAAAGCAATTGAGCCTTTTCTCTTAAGTGACTTGGAAGGTGAACCCTATGACAGTTTCCTCCCAAGGTATCTGTTTTCTGGGTAAGCCCGAAAGGGCAGCCCCTATTCTGGGCTTCAGACAAACCTAATTCTCGTAAGTCTTTGCACGTGCTTCTCTCTCTTCCTGGTCAAGCCCCGCAGCTCCCATCCTCTGGGCCATTCTGACCAGTCTGTCTTATTCTGTATCACTGCCCATTCATTTTCATAGCACTTTTAATTTATCATCACACATTCTAAATTCTTTTCAAACTTATTTTTCCAACTAGTCTCCAAGTTCCATAAAGACAAGGGACCATGTCTGTTTTTTGTACCACTGTATCCCAAATTCCTAGCATAGTAAAGCCAGAATTAAGGAATAGAACATTGTTTATTGTCTACCTACTATACACATGGCAAGCACTTTGATGGGCATTTGCAGGACAACACAAGATAATAGGAGGCCTGGGTCATCGGGCTTAAGGAATCTAAACTTTAGTCTGTAGGTAGGAGGAGCCCTGAAGCTTTCTTGAGGAGAGTGGCATGATTAGAGCTGTGCAACAGAAAGATTATCTTGGCAGTACTCTTCAAGAGGAATGACAGCAGAGCCTGGAAGTGCAGTCTAGAGCCTCCAACTTCAGAGTGCACAGAAATCACTGCCTGGAAATGCAGATTCTGGTTCAGTAGGCCTGGAATGGGTACAGAGATTTCTGCATTTCTCACAAGTACCTCAGTAACAGTTACTGAGTTACCAGCAGTAACACTAATGCTGCTTGTCCACAAGCCATACTTTGAGTAGCAAGGACCTTGAGGACAGTGTGGATATTTTGCAGAAATGTAGGTGACAGCCAATAGCAATCTGACTTAGCACCTCTAAGTGGCTAGGGATAGTGGCTGACCAGGCAGGTCTGCAAAAAAAAAAAAAAAGAGAGAGAGAGAGAAAGAGAAATCCATTTTGCAGGATATTTTGGTTAGGATAGCACTTTTCTAATAGAAGCTAAAAATGTACATCAGTTTTTCTCATGAAATAGAAGTCTGGAGGTCAGTGATTGCTGGCTTTGAACTGTTGGGTCAAGGATTCAGTCTCTGAAAATCTATAGCCCTTCCCACATGATCAGTAGGCTGCTGGCACCCCAGCCATTGCTTCTGCATTCCAGGCAAAAAGAAGGAAAAGAAGGGAAGATCAGAAATGTTCCTGCCATCCAAGTAGGCACCCTCTGGAGAGATTTTAAGAAGTCCTGCATTTTAACAAACACTTAAATGACATTGGCTACCACTCAGGAAGGGAGGTTGGGAAATGGTTTCTTTCTTTTTTAAGAGGAAAGACACATAGCCATAGTGAATGAAATTCTGCCTTGATGCAGACCTCAGCACTTGGGTTGCTTCGGCCCAAAGGTAGGGATGCCTGCTTATAACCCAAAAACGACCCTGACTCTAGTTCCTTTATGATAATACTAATGGCAGTCTCCATTTGCTGAGCTCTTTGTATGTGCTACGCACTGTGCTGAATCCTTGACATGTGCTATTTCATTTAATCATTGTAAACTGCCATGTGTAGTAGATAGGCACAATCTCCATTTTGCAGATGAGGCAATTAGATTAAGTACTTTGTTCATGCTTCTTTCACCACTAGTAAATGAGAACTAGAATTACAAGGCAGACATCTGGCCCTGGAGCCCACATTCACAACTCCATACATATTGCTGCTTTGTCATAACTGCAAAGAAAGTTATTAAGTGTCTAAAAACAAACAAAAACTACTGATGTTCATATTCACAAAATTATAGTGCCTTCAAAGAGGGAAGGATTTTAAAAATCCATGTAATCTAACACTTGCATTTTATAAACAGAGTGACTCATTAATGACTGAATGGCAAGTAGAAGCTAGATCTTCTCACTCCTAGGTCAGTTGCCTTCCTGCTTAATTGAAATAATAATACTATGTGTGCTAATGAACACATGGCATCAGACAAGTCACTTAACCCCTTGGAATCTCATTTACAAAATGGGGCATGGGACTAACTGGTTTCTGAGGGCCCTCAGCTGTTAAGTCCAGTTTGTATATGAGAAAATGCAAGTTAAATGGTTATACAATCCCAGATGGGGAGAGAGTTATTCCTTAGACAAGGACACAAAAGAAGAGACAGTAGTACCTTACATGTTAGATTTCTCTGTGCTTTTTACTTCTCTCCGTGGTTCAGTGTGTTTCTCTTTGAGATTTGAAATTTGGTTTAGTCATTTATCAAGGATCAAATAGCAGAAGCAGCAGTAGAAAATGTGTAAATCATGGCTTTCAGAGCATTTATATGCCTGTTCTTTCATGCTCAACATTTGTTCAGTAGATTAATACTTAAGGAAAAACTATTAATATTTCATTGCCAAAATCAATTTATTTTCCTTTTATTGTTGCTAGGAAGCTTCAGATAAGAATTTAAAGTAGTTTCTTAGGCACCCAGTTAAGTGCCTGCACCTCAAGGCAAAACAGCTCTATGAGATTTTTTTCCCTATAAGAAAAATTTCCATTTTGCATGTAACCAAATTTTTCCTTTTGCACATAAATAGAAAAGGTGAGATCTTTTCCCCAAACTTGATATGACACTTCTTTGCTGGACATAAAGATGCTGTGAATGGTAATAAAAATCCTGACTGTTCAGAGGAACTAGTTGACACTCCTTGATACAGCAAGACCATGAGCCCCAACATCATGGGAGTCAGTTTGGCCAATGTCTCCTGTCCAGCCTCAGATTCCTGGCCAGTCTTCTGCCAATGGGTGCATTGAACACCAAGTTAGAGAAGATTGGTTTGACTTAAGCCTATGCCACCTCAGAAAAATGAATCAAAGTCTAGGTCCAATGGATTCTGGGTTATCAAAGGCCAGCACTCAAATTGGCCTCTTTGTGGAAGGGAGTCATTACTTCAAGAATGAAAATGGGCTTGGAGTTAGGTGTACCTTGGTACATATCTGAGGCCTCCCAATTACTAGTGCGCATCCTTAGGCAAGTCCCTTGCCTTCTCTGAGCGTAAGAGGCCTGTTGTGAGAAAGATTCCATTAAACGTGAACCAGAGTGTAGCATAAGATATGCACACAAATGGTGTGTATTTCATAGCCACTACCATCATTCACATTTGCTCTTACCAGACTGTAAATACCTTGACTAACCATGACTGTTCTCTTTCCCACTCAAAATTAGCCTGGCAGGATGTCCTGTATGTAGTAGGTTCTTAATATTTGTGTGGCAGGTATGAATGTCAGTCCATAAAATAATGCATGCAAGAAATATAACTCCTCCTAGAAACCTAATTTCTCACTTTGAGTTACCATCTCATCTTCCTGGTGGGGGAAAAAATATAACCTTTGTGGTTCTTGGATTTCATCATGGCCCCTTGCTTCTTCAGGATATGACATAATTCCAGGATAGTGCCTACACTGCATAATATACAAACATTCAGGGTATGCCAGTGTGGGGATAGTGGGGGCATCCCATCTGATGACCACACAACTGATGTTTGGTCAGTTGTTTGCCATATTGTTCCTGACCTTATAAACCATTATGGTTTAGTGATTCTTAGCTGCCTCATGCCAGACTAAGGGTTGAGAATCTCGGCCAAGGTGCCTATGCTGAGCTACACCCACTGCTACTCCTCTTGGCAGTATGTCTAGGAAATTGGGTGCAGATCCTCTCTCTCTCAGGACCTTTTTATCCTCCTCCTCCTGCCTCTATTTCTGGGGATTCCCTATCTATTCTTGCAGAGAGGGAAACCACTTCTTCTTTGTTTTTCCAGATAATATAATTGGTCAATTCCCCTGAGAATCTGTAGTCCTATAGTTTAGGAGTGTGAGAAAACAAAAGTCAGGAAGCTACTTTGCCATAAACCTCCCCTAGGCAAGGAATCCTGGAGCCTACTATGTTCTTGAATGTTTGGAAGGAAAGGGAAAAACGGAGGAAGAAAAATTATTAGTTCGTATCTCAAAATATTGTTTTTGCTGCATATATTTGTTGAATGAAGATCTTTCTGTGTAT